TAGTCTGTCTCTTCTGTATGTATGAACGTTTAAATGATTAAATGTTTAAATCCAAACATCAAAACATCTATCCTCAAACTTGTAAAAACAAATTGAAAAAATTTTTATTAATACTTTTATAAAGCTTCCCCATATGCCAACCACTAGAGCCAATGTTGTGGGCCTGCACACTACCTAACCATATCAAAACGATGTTTAAAATAAATGGATAATTTCCCCTCCATAAACACATGCAATTTCCAACAGATCTCCAAAGACAGACTCTAACAGTCTGGAAATGTCAGTTAAATCCTTCCAGCTTTTAACCTAGTTAAACCACATTGGGCTATAGATCAAAGAAGATTGCTATGATGCAGTGTACCGTAAGGACTGTCTGTTTTAAACCTACTGCTGATCAGGCTTTTTCTTAGAAATTAACCCCACTTTTTTCTCCGTTATCTAAATGGAAGGTGTTTTTAAATGCAGAAAATGTATTCCTACAGTAGATAAATACTGAAGAAAAGTTAATAGGCTTCATATTTTTATTTAATCTGAATGGAAAAAAATTAGCACATGCCTGCTTTGAGATCAGTCTTACATTGACTAAGAGTTCCATCATCTGACTTTGGAATGTGGGCAAGTAACTCTTTAGTAAACCACTCCCTTTCCCAGATTAAATATTTATTCAGGTGCTGTTTGCCTCTCACCAGGTCAGAAAGTGTCCTGTATGAGCTGCAGTATTCCACCCATGGGATAGAATAGGAAGATTGCACTGGAAGGCTCATCTAAAGGGCTCAATATCTCCTGACTTGACTAACTTTTAAAGTGGCACTTCTTCAGCCTCGTGCAGAGGGGGTGCCCATGGGACCTCTTGCCCCTGAACCAGGCATCATCTTTAATACACAGGTGTGTCCTGTGGAAACTACTTTTGTTAGCATGCAGCACTATGGATTGATTCAGAAATCATGCCTCCCAATTATTAAGAACAAGTAGGTGAAATCTGCTGTATTTTATGCCAAGTGTGTGGTGCAGCCCTTATGCTTCTGGCAAGTTGCCAGTATAGCCTCTGGTGGAGCAAAATGTTGCTGCACCTGATCTAGGGGGAGATTTTCAAAGGTATAAATGACAGGCACTTAATTTCCACTGAAAGTCACTGTGTACTCATGTACACTAAAAGGTGCAGTAGTTATTGTAAACACCTTTATTATAATGAGGCGATATACAGCTTAACCATTAGAAACTAGTACAGAAATGTGACCCAATCGGTTGTCACAATCCCGTTACCAGCTAAATCTTTTGTCTTTGTATATTTTAAATTTTTCTGATTAGTTAGACACAGCTATTTCAGGAATGGTTCAATTAGTAAGCAATTTAAATGTGAGGGATACTTTCTTCAGATTTTTCATCTCCCGTTCAGAATAATGTATTTTCACAAGAGTTGATGTGGCTGCATACATTGTGATTTTATGGAAAATAGGTCTCCTCAAATTTGGGATTCTTTTTTGATGAGATCACATGTTTGTTTGATTGAAAATAGAACTGGTTTAAAATTTTCAAACAGAACAGTTTTCCATCAGAAAATGTGGATTTGACGAGATCAAAATGTCCATAGGGAACCAGGCAGGCTACTTGGCAGGTGGGCAAGTAGACTCACTAGCTGCCTGGCCAGACAGGCTGCCCTGCTGACACATAATATATTTTATAAAAGTAAAATCATTTTGACGTTTACATTATTTTATTATAAATTGTAATATTACAAAAGTTGCATTAATAAAAATCAGTTTGCCCTATAGATAGGAACAAAACTATTTCAGCCTTATCAAAAGGAAATTAAATGAAGCATTTCAATTTTTCTGAAATATTGGAATTTTGTTCTGCAGGACGTTTTGAAATTCCTATTTTTGGTCTGTGTCATAACAGCTTTTTGGTTTTTTTTAATTTTAGAATTTCCAGCACAATGGAAATTCTAGGTTCTGGCCAGTTCTATATAATGGTAATTGTGCTGACATAATATAATTTGCCTTCTGTAAGGCCTTTGACTGAATCCTGCATGACATTCTGATTAAAAAAAGAGCAGAATACAAAATCATTGTAGCATGCATTAAATGGACTAACAACTGGCTAACAGTTGATCTCAAAGTAATTTATAAAGAGGGAGTCATCATTCAGTGGGGAGCGGGGGAGTTTCTAGTAGGGTCCATCAGGGACAGTTGTTGGACCAGTTCTGATATATTTATCAATGTTTGGGGGGAAATGTAGTCATTGCTGATGAAAATTTGCAGATGATACAGACATTGGTGGAGTATTAATTGATTATAGGTAAGGCTACGTTTTAGTCACGGGTATTTTTAGTAAAAGTCACGGACAGGTCACGGGCAGTAAACAAAAATTCACAGCCCATGACCTGTCTATGACTTTTACTATATACCAGGGTTTCTCAAACAGGGGTCGCCGCTTGTGTAGGGAAAGCCCCTGGCGGGCCGGGCCGGTTTGTTTACCTGCCCCGTCCGCAGGTCCAGCCGATCGCGGCTCCCACTGGCCGCGGATCGCTGCTCCGGGACAATGGGAGCTGCTGGAAGCGGCGGCCAGTAAGTCCCTCGGCCCGCGCCGCTTCCAGCAGCTCCCATTGGCCCGGAGCAGCGATCCGCGGCCAGTGGGAGCCGCGATCGGCCGGACCTGCGGACGGGGCAGGTAAACAAAACGGCCCGGCCCGCCAGGGGCTTTCCCTACACAAGCGGCGACCCTTGTTTGAGAAACCCTGCTATATACCCCTGACTAAAACTTGGGCAGGGTCTGCCTGGGGGCGTCGTGGGTGCTGCGGGAGGACGGCCCGGGACCCTAGCTGGTGTTGGTGGGGCATGGGTGGCGGCACACGGCCTGGAACCTGGGGGGAGGGGGTTGGCAGAACCGGCAAGCTCCCTACCTGGCTGTGCGCCTCCCCGCCCCCCTCAGCAGCAGCAGAGTTTGGGTGTGGGAGGGAACGTGGTGAGGCAGGCTCTGGGCGGCACTTACCTGGGGGGCTCTCTGGAAGCAGCGACATCCCCCTTGCTCAGCTCCTAGGAGGAGGCGTGGCCGGACAGCTCTGAGTGCTGCCTCCGCCCAGAGCACTGGCTTCGCAGCTCCCATTGGCCAGGAACTGCGGCCAATGGGAGCTGCGGAGGCAGTGCCTACAGGTGAAGGCAGCACGCAGAGCTGCCTGGCCACACCTCCACCTAGGAGCTGAGCGAGGGAGATGTCGCTGCTTCTGGGGAGCCCCCCAGGTAAGCGCCGCCCAGAGCCTGCCTCACCCTGTTTCCTGCCCAAACCCCCTGCCCCCTTCCACACCCAAACTCTGCTGCGGGGGGAGGGGAGGTGGCCCAACACTGCCCCAGCAGCCGCCAGTGTGACTGGTGCAGGAGCTGCCTGGGGTACCCCTGAGCCATGCACACCGGCTGCTGCAGAAGTCATGAAGGTCACGAAAAGTCACAGAATCCATGACTTCCATGACAAATTCACAGCCTTAATTGTAGAGACAAACTCAGTGCTATAGAGTGATCAGGATTGCTTATAAGCAAGGCTTCTTTAAACAACATACATTTTAATACAATGTAAATGCAAGGTCATACACCTAGGAACAAAGAATCAGACCACTGTCTATCATGCTGACCACTATTGTCTCATTGGAACAATTTACCAAGGGATGTGGTTGATTCTCCATCCCTTGAAGTTTTAAAATCAAGATTGGATGTCTTTCTAAAAATAGGCTCTAGCTCAACCGCAAAGTATGGGCTTGTTGCAAGAATTACCGAGTGAAATTATTTGTCTTGTATCCTGCAGGAGGCCAGACTTAGATGATCATAATGGTGCCTTCTGGCTTTAAAGCCTTTGAAAAAGATAATATGGGTAACCAAACCTCCTGCTAGGAAGGCTCTTTCTATCAAGTACACTACTGAACAAGGTGCATTATAAGTTGTTTTTTTTTTTTTTTGTCATCCTCTGAGCCATTTCATGTTGTGCAGTATTGGAGCTAAGAAACGGGAATGGTCTGACCTGGTGGGGAAGCTTGTATGATCCAAATCTAAGTATAAACCCTGAGAATCACTGATACAATTAATTGTCAGTTAGAAGTGGATGAACCAGAAGCTTAATTATTTAAAAAAGTTGCAGCTTATTTACACATTTAGTGATACTAATTAAATGCTATGGTTGGAATTGTCCCCTCACTGATGCACACTTGGAGGGAGTAGTCATTGTGTGGCTCACATCTGATTTTGATCCCTTCTACCAGAGCAGGAAGAAAACTGTCAAATTTGGGACACATGCAGTATTTTTGAAGTCTGAAGGACAGAATATTGACAGATTAAAGTTCATTCATTCTTGTTTAGAGGAATGTAGTCATTAGTCGGAATACTAGATTTTTCCTCTCTACTGTGTGAAAACTGCTTTTTACTAACTTTTGGAGAGCATTCTTTTAATACTTTTGAGATAACCTGTTTTAAATTAGCTGACAAATGCGGTAACAACAAAGGAAAATGGGTAGTGGCTTTTAAAGCTGTAGCTTATGTTACTCAGCTAGAATTTATCACAGAGATACAGATGAGTATTTTACAAATAGTACAACTTTGCTATATTCTAGTCTTATTCCTAGTTGCATACAGTACTTGCTGGAATTGTCTAAGTCACAAATTGTTTGAATTAAGTCTATTGGAAAATAAATTCTTGGTTGTTAAAAACATATTTATCTTGTCTGGACTTTCAGAATTGAGCTTATATCTTGCTGAAGCTATTTTTTATTGGAAACGAAGGCTTTGATGTTCTTTGTGAATAGGAAATAAAATTCAGTTTGTATGTATGTCTTTCTCAGTAGATTAGAACAGCCATTATATTAATGATAAACATTTTAATTTATGGTGATAGCCATTACTTGAAGGTTCAGATGTTGTCCAAATATATAGGAATAAGGCTTTTGGTGCTGTGTGTGTTAATTTCACTATAAATCATGAGAAATCACTGATCTTTTGCTTGTTGATTTTGTATTGCAGTATGCCAGGGTTTGGATCCCTGATCCAGAGGAAGTCTGGAAGTCAGCAGAACTTCTCAAAGATTATAAACAAGGAGATAAAGTCATCCAGCTTCGACTCGAAGAGGGAAAGGTAAGGTTACATGTTGTTGTTAGGCCTATAGCCCTTGATATTGGCTGCAGGCCGTTGTATACTAGTATGAAAGGTCAATTTTTCAAAATGAGGCCATATTAACATATGTGCAATCATTTGGGCTCATAATCTTTAAGGCCCTGTACACGACAGGAATTATATAATTGAAATGCACAACATTTATTCTCACTTGATTTTCTTACCCTCCACCTATCCTATCCTTCCCTCATATTTTTATTGTATCATTATCTTCTGTTAATTCTGTAACTGAAGTCATCATCTTGTTTGACATCCCAATTAGCTGCTGTGGAGATGCTATCACAAGAAGAGAGGAAACATTCTATAAATAGAAATGATGATTTTTAGAAGCTCTTATCTTTCTATTAAGCAGATTATTTTTGTTAAAGAAATTTAAATGTATTGAAGAGGGATGTTTTATCTAAGATACAGTGGCCAATACACCAGTAGTAAGATCTGCTCTTAGAAACTGAACATCTACTGAAATTTTGTTTTAATTTGTCTTCCCTACTTCCCTGCACAAAGCAATATAGATCTTACTTGCATGAAGATGCCTACAGTAGTTAAATAACATTAACAGAATACACAGGTAGAATTATATCTAAATGATCCTTCAAGACTTTCATATAACAATATAGATGAAAACTACCTTCCCAATCTGGAAGGACTCAGAAATTTCCACATGCTCTTTCTGAAGGTGCTGCTCACTTGTATGTCACACTTGCAGAATAGGGTTGCATATGTCAATAAAATCAAATTGCATTGGAAAAAGGTGTCATTGTCAGGAAGGTTAGTGTACTGTTAGAGTTATAGTTTGTGTGTCTCTTTGTATATAGAGAGAACTTTGTGTTTGTATATATTTAAAAAAAAAATTGGATTTAAATATTCTTCTTAGCGTTGCTGTCCCAGCATTCTCACATTGTATTACTGCATGACAACAAGATAGTCAAACTGACAGAAGCAAAGTAAACTATTTTCTTAGTCCAGTCTGCTTAAAAGGAAAAAAAATAAACACAGCATAAATGATTAAAAACTAAATTGGATTTTTAAAACTAATGTAGTTTTAGTTAAATCTAAATTGTTGTTAGCAACAAGGTAAAGGATTTTATTTAAAAAAATTACCCTTTAAGGTTCTGCTCTGTGTAAGAAATGCTCGTTTGATATTTTCAGTTAAGTTACTGGAGGAAGCATTACAAGCAGAAAGCAGCACATAGGAATGCACAAGACAAGTTAAACTTATTCAGGGAATGATTACAAAAGGAAAATGATTGGTGAGACCGAGTGGATGGATAAGCCAAAGATGGAACATTTTAAAATACTTCTTTTCATGTAATATGTGTGTATTTAATTTTCAGGAATTAGAATATTGCCTTGATCCTAAGACCAAGGAACTGCCTCCCTTACGAAACCCTGACATACTTGTTGGTGAAAATGATCTCACAGCACTCAGTTATCTCCATGAACCTGCTGTTCTACACAACCTCAAAGTTCGCTTTATTGATTCAAAACTCATTTATACCTATTGCGGTAAGTACATAACCATTTTCCTTTATTCTATTGCAAGGAACCAAAAAAAAAAAAGAAAGAAATTGCCATGGGTAGGAAAAAAGAAGGTTGGTTATTGATAGGTCTCTGATTTTAAATAAAGTCTTGTTTTCATTAATTATGAGGCACTTTGGGGGATCCTTTAGTAAGAAAGGCCCTTTGTAGATATAGCACATTACTGCCTACATCAGGTAGGCCCAAATCAACTAGGCCTGCAAGTATGAAAATTCAGAGTACATCTGCTTCATTTTTATGTGCTTCTAGCTTCCCAAAGGGCTCTGTTTAGAATGCTCACTTTGAGGTCATGGGGATTCTTCAATGAACATTGTGCCCATTACACCTGCTTACCTAAGTATGTATTAGCTGGAGGAGAGCTTTGAAAAATGTAAATGTATCTTTGGAAATGTGTAAGACTAAGTTTATAATGCCTTTTGTTTGCTGGACTTATTCTTTCCCAGCTATGGCTAACTTGGTATTGTGCTTGCATTGAGGATTCCAATTACTTTTCCTTCGTACCATTTTCATTCAGTGGAACTGCAGGGATGAGGTTATAGCAACTACAGAGCGTGTATGTGCCAGTGTTTGTGTGTTCATATCTGTGCTCTTTGTTAGTGGCAAAGAACATTTAACTCATAGCAGTGTAGATTTGTGATCCTACAAAATCTGAAGCATAATTGGCCATAATTATTATTAAGGCTAAGATTTTTTTTCACAGTTAGTTTTAGTAAAAGTCATGAAAAGGTCACGGGCAATAAACAAAAATTCACGGAGCTGTGACTTGCTCATTACTTTACTAAAAATAACCTGGGGCAAGGCTAGGTAGCGGGGAGGAATGGAGTCCCATGGGGCAGGGGGGAATGACATGCCAAGGCCCCTGCCACGGCAGGGGGCACAGCCCCGACTCCAGTGGCTGCAGGGGGGTCGCAGCAATGGGGGGACACACAGCCCTTGCTCCAGAGCTGGCCCGACTGCAGCCCCCACCAAGCTTTAGCCGCAGGGACGGGGGTGGTGGATGGCCCTGGGAAGCTGCCAGGGGGGCGCGCGACCCCAGCCGCAGCCTCCGGCGAAAGCCGCAGGGCTGGGGCACACGGCCCCGGCTGCAGCCCCGCCAAGCCCGGGCCGCTGCGGGCTGGGGCGTATGGACCCCGCCAAGCCCGGGATAACATAGGGCTGGGGCGTATGGACCCCGCCAAGCCCGGGATGCCACAGGGCTGGGGTGCATGGATCCCGCCAAGCCCGGGATGCCGCCAGGCTGGGGTGCATGGATCCCGCCAAGCCCGGGATGCCGCCAGGCTGGGATGCACGGATCCTGCCAAGCCCGGGATGCCGCCAGGCTGGGATGTACAGCCCTGGCTGCAGCCCCCGGGATGCTGTGAGGCTGGGGCGCATAGCCCCTGCCAACCCTGGGACGCCGAAGGGTTGGAGCACATGGTCCTGGCTGTAGCCCCCGGCCTGGCTGCAGCCCCCGGAGGAAGCCATGAGACTGGGGCTGCAGGGTCCTGATTTCAGCCAGCCCCAGTTGCAGGGCAGGGGCGCACAGTCCCGCCTCCTCCTCCTGAAGCCCTAGAAGTCACGGAGGTCCGGCAAAGTCACGGAATCCGTGACTGCCGTGATCTCAGTGACTAAATCGTAGCCTTAGCCATAATTTGTTCAATCAACCAAAGCTGGAACCGTTTACTAGAATGATGACTTCATCATAATTGCAGTTGAGTGGTAAATTTTAAAGGAACATTGTGAAGTAGTTTAGGCCCAAAATTTAGATTTTCATGCAGTGGGTTTTTAATTCGAAATCCTGATATTTATTGGAAATATGTTGCTAACTCTTAATAGAACATTTCAATTAAAACAATTTCAAGTTCATTTTTAGATATTGCCCTGTATTTTGTTTTTTAAACATCATGCATTAGTTTAAACATTAGTGCATGAGAAACAGAAAGTTAAACTAGCTATCCTGTTTAGACTGCTCAAGGTGAGTAAAATATAAAAAGTGAATTGCATAATTGGTGGGAAGTTAACCAGATTATGAAAATAATAGTTGCTGTTAGTAATACAGATCAGGGATTTTTCTCCCAAAATATGTGCCAGATTTTCCTGTCATGTAAATCGGTCTGGCTCCATTGTAGTCAGTGTAGTTAGGTCAATTAATGCTAGTTGTGAATTTGTACCATGATTTTTACCCATACTGTTTCCCTTTAATTTTTTTATGGACCATTTTAACTTTTTTAATTCAGACTAGCTCTAGTCCATTTTTCTAAGGACAGCCCCAATTTGTTTTGTGCACAATTCCCAGAGCATAGCTAGCCATCGTGAATTACCATTGTTTGAGCCTGCTGCTTGCAGTTGGATTTTGTCATTTGGGTCGCACTTTGCACTGCTTTAGTATAAATTAGGCTGGGCTGTCATTGAGGGAATCGGATCACAGTGCAAGGGAGTCTTTGACTGACATCAGCAAATCGTACTGTGGTAGCTGATGTTTTGAAGGCATTTGCGACTTCCTTGGTGCAATGCAAGTTGAAGACCTTGCTCTGTTCCTCTCTTGGTGCAGAACAGCCACACTTTGAATTTTGATTGTAATTCCTAATGTGAATTTCTCACTGTGTCTGTTTCTGCTGCAGCTCCAGCCATGGTATCAGGAGTGGTAGGATTAATGTAGAGCTGCAGCCAGGATTTTAGTGATGCAGAGTACAGGTATTGATACCCTGGTGCCCTGTCTACACTAACTTGCTACTACTGATGGAACCACACCCAAGGATGGCGACAGGGAAATTTTTTGAAAAAAAAAAGTTTCGTGTAGATAAAACCTAATTACTTGATCTTTCAAACACTTAGCAGCAGGTACTGATTTCAGTGGGACTATGCCCACTAGTAAGTGTTCTCAGGATCAGGCTTTAAATTCCCTTGAATCTTACTGACTGTTTTGTGTTTGGGTTGTTTGCAACCCTCTATTGTGTTTGGTACCCATTTAGAAGCTTTAAAAAGGAATTTATTTTTATGCCAGTTTTGTTTTTTACATTTGGCAAACATGCTGCTTTTATGTTTTTCCCAGTGCTGCTTTAATTGACTATACACCAGGCCTCTGCTAATTTTCCCTAATGTCTGGAAGACACGTGGAAAATTGCTAAATTTGGCAAACCATTAAAGGGCATAAAATGTTTTTGTAAAAGGCAAGTTTGCTGAAGTTTGAAGAAGCTCTTCAGCCTTCTAAAAAAGTCTCAGCTGATGAGGATTGTGCAATTTGCATGTTAGGTTTATTAGAAGGGTCTTTAGAAATCTTTGGGTTTCCAAGTGATCAAAGTGCAAACAAATGAGGTTTGATATGATAATTTTTGACATTACAGGACACCCAGAGCTGTGGTCCAAGCTGCTATCGAGTCACTCTCCTTTACTCCATCACCATGGAATATTCTACATTATGGGAAATGTGGACGCGCACATAGTGTTTTAGGGCTTGTCTACACTTACAGAGCTGTAGTGTAATAAAGAGGCTGCTTTCACCAATGGGAGAGCTTCTCCCATTGGTGTAGGTACTACACCTCCTTGAGAGGCACTAGATACATTGACAGAAGTCCTCCCATTGACATAGCACTGTTTACACAGGGAGTTATGTCAGTATAATATGCACCCACACCCCTGAGCGACATAAGTTTGTAGTGTAGACCAGGACAGTGGTTTGAGCATTGGCCTGCTGAACCCAGGGTTGTAAGTTCAATCCTTGAGGGGGTTAAAAAAAACCAAAAAAACAAAAAAACAAACCCCTGTCTGGGGATTTGTCCTGCTTTGAGCAGCGGGTTGGACTAGATGATCTCCTGAGGTCCCTTCCAACCCTGATCTTCTATGATTGTTGTTGAAAACTTAGTGTAATAACAACAACAAAGGGCGGGGGGCAGCGGCAATTGTTCGCTTGGTGAAATTCTTAGGAAAACAGTAGTATATCAAATGGGGACTAGCACGGTTACAGGGGTAGCTGCATCTTTGATCCCTCTCTGGTCTCTGAGTGCACCCCCTCAAATATTTGGCCTTTTGCCCTTACCTTTTCTGGGGTGGAATTCTGTAAATGTCCCACTTTTAGCCTGGGCCCTGGGACACAGCACCCTACGTTTCAACTGATTACTCAGCCAGCCTGATGGGGGTTGTCACCGGCAAGGCTTCACTTTGGGATCTTGTGAGCAGTGATTGATACAGATGACCAGACAGCTTCTCCAAACAAAGCATTGTTTATGTCCGTGGTTCTCAACCAGGAGTATGTGTACCCCTGGGGGTACGCAGAGGTCTTCCAGGCAGTACATCAACTCTTCTAGATATGTACCTAGTTTTACAACAGGCAACATAAAAAGCACTAGCGAAGTCAGTAAAAACTAAAATTTCATACAGACAGTGACTTGTTTATACTGCTCTGTATATTATACAGTGATATGCAAGTACAATATTTATATTCCAATTGATTTCTTTTATAATTATCTGGTATAAATTAGAAAGGAAGCAATTTTTTCAGTAATAGTAGTTTTGTAGTGAGGTGAAACTTGGGGGTACGCAATACAAATCAGACACCTGAAAGGGGTACAGTTGTCTGGAAAGGTTGAGAGCCACTGGTTTATGTATTGCAGTAGGAACAAAGCATAAAAAGAATGAAAATCAAGGATATTAAAACAGAAGGCCTATAGATGTATGTTTCCTAGGGTATATCCAGAGCCACCCCTAGACATTGTGGTGCCCTATGCAGCCTCCCTCTGGGGGGGAAGCGGGGGGCTAGGCCTCTGCAGGGGTGGGAGGGCTGCACCCAAGGTCTGTGGGGGGCAGGAGCAGGCTTGGGGGGTGGGGGGAACTGCCCCCCAGCACGAGCTGGCGGAGCGGAGCGGGTTGAGGCTGGGGTGCTCCACTTCCTGCCGCCTGGTGATTGCAGGGTAGGCCCAACCCCGCACTCACGGGGCGGTGGGAAGTGGAGTGACCTAGCCCCAGCCCACTCCGCTCTGCTCCCCTGGCTCCCTGTGAGTGCAGGGCAGGCCCAACCCCTGCTTCAGTCCCCTGGGATGTAGCTCAGGGGAAGGGGTGGGGTGGGGGCGGGTCTGGGTCGGAGCAGGGGTAGGAAGAGGTGGAGCGGGGGCAGAGCAGGGGGCGGGGGCTTTGGGGAAGGGGTGGAGTGGGGGTGGGGCTGAAGCGGAGCAAGGATGGGAAGAGGCGGGGCTGGGGCAGGGCAGGGGCGGGGGCAATGTAGAAGGAGTGGAGTGGGTGCAGGGTGAGAGTGGAGGCAGCTTTCCTGGCTGGCTCAGCCGGCCAGGGGATCGGGCTGGCTGCTGGAGCAGCATGCAGCTGCATAAAGTGCCCCAAATTTCCTGGTGCCCTACGCAGCTGTGTAGTTTGCGTATGGGTAAGGACAGCCCTCGGTATATCTACACTGCTGGACTGTGTCAACTGACTTGGGCTCAGGGCAAGGGGCTGTTTAACTGTGGTGTAGACGTTCGGGGCTTGGCCTGAAGCCCGGCTTCTATGACCACACCCGAACGTCTACACCACAATTGTACAGCCCATTAGCATGAGTCCGAGTCACCTGGCATGGGTCAGCAACAGGTTTTTAATTACAGTGTAGACGTACCCCTAGAGGCCTGCCAGGCCTTAGGCGGGTCTGTTTTCACTCCCTCCCATGACATCTGTGGTCTGTGAGAACCACTTCTCATCAATGACTCTCAACAGCCACTCACTCTTTCCCTTGAGAATGTCACTTTTATCCCCTTAGGAGCCCTTTGTCTCTTGTTCCCGGTTCTGTGTTTACAGAGGTCGGAGGTGGTACATCAAAGCAAATGGATTTAGTATTGTCCCTGAAATGTGACTAAATAGGTGGCTATCTGAAGCTATTGTCCTCTTTCCTGCTTAGATGCAACCAGACCTTGCTTGAATTCATCCCTTGTATTCATACATTACTGTCTTCTTAAGTCAGAAAAATAGAATATATAATGTTCATAAGTTATTATAGACCAGCACCAAGTCAGTCACAGGGAAGCCAAGTGAAATTGGTGTGCACTTACAGAACTCTGTTTGCATGTGAAAACCATATGCAGTGACAGTAGAACCTGAGAGTTACAAACACCTCAGGAATGGAGGTTGATCATAACTCTGAAATGCTCGTAACTCTGAACAAAACATTAAGGTTGTTCTTTCAAACAACATTGACTTAATTCAGCTTTGAAACTTTACAATGCAGAAGAAAAATGCTGCTTTTAACCATCTTAATTTAAATGAAACTGGCACAGGAACAGTTTCCTTACCTTGTCAAATCTTTTTTTTAACTTTCCTTTTTTTTAACTAGTTTGTTTAACACAGTACTGCACTGTACAGTATTTGCTTTTGTTTTTGTGTCTGCTGCCTGATTGTATACTTCCAGTTCCAAATGAAGTGTGTGGTTGGCCGGTCAGTTCGTAACCCTGATGTTCGTAACTCTGAGGTTCTACTGTACTTGGTCTGTATGTTCAGACATGAGAATTTGGGCTATGTCTACGTGACAGAACCTGTGTTGGGATAGCTATGTTGGCATAGTCCCCTAGTATCGCTGCAGTGTACATCAAGAGAAGGAGTGTTTCTGCTGGTGTAGGAACGCCACCTTCCTGAACTACCTCTTCTGTAGACACAGCTGTATCCACACTGTTTTTTTTGTGAGCATAGCTATGTCATTAGGAGATGTGGTTTTTTTCAGACCCCTGACCGAGCTAGCTATCTTGGTATATAAGTTTTTAGTGTAAACCAGGCCCCAACTGTTGAATTTACATTTTGCATGTTGGCCTTTGAAAATTTGACTCTGTAGTCTCCTACTGTATACCCTAGAATGATATAAAGGTAGGTCAAATGAAGACTAAACAGGATTAAATTTCACTTTGGTGTCATCTTAAATCATTTTAAATTAAAGTAGGCTTGATAATTTTAGGGCAGTAATTGACCTGAGATCTGGAGGTAATTTGTTCAGCTTTGTTCTTCATTATTTCTTCAAATCTGTTCAAATCTGAACAAAGATTTGTGAATGTTAAAAGGGAAAAGTGCATCTCTATGATTCCGAGAACCTTCTGGCAGCTAGGTTTAAAATTCAGTGAACTTTGCTGCTTATGTTATATGATGCTTATGAAGTATAAAATACTGCCCAGTATGCAGTACAATGAGACTAGATTTAGATAAATATTTAACCATTTGTAGATTGATGACCACCCTCAAGATGAAAGTTTGAAAGTTTGCATGTGTACAGGAAGAATCATAATAGCAACTGAGGGGTGCAAATTTAATATAAAAGAAATTGAAATGTTACCATGACCCTTGCATTAGTAGATTTATGTATTTCTTATGGAAAATCCAGTGCAATTAAGATGGATGTGAGACAAAGTGGTAATTTTTGGTAATATTTTTATGAGGCCTACGTCTGCCTCAGTTTCCCCTATATTTTGCATCGCTACCCAGTGGAGGGTAGGGAGTGGGAAGGATTAAGTTTGCTCTCCCAGCAGACTAAGAGATGTAGGTGTGCGTGTCACCTCCCTGTCTGGGTGGAATGAAGAATCGCTAAGGAACTGGTTAAAACCCACCCAGATCAACATGGGGGCCAGAGAGACAATGCAAGCACCAATGACTCATGGATTTCCCCCACTTCCCAGCAGGGAAGCTGACTAGAAACCCAACTCAAGATCAAAGGACATGAAGGTGTGTGGTGGGGGAGTAAAATGTGGGTTCTGGAACAAGTCTGGGCTCTATCCCCAGAGAATTGACTAAGGAAGTTAGAGAGAAAGCCAGAGAGCCTGGAGATGGAGTTCACTACAGTTTGGCTGGTAAATTGTTCTGGAATGACCAGGGTGGACTGTACTTTAACTATAATGTTTCTATGCTAACCTAAAGATGTTCTATGCTGTGTTCCCCTTGACTAATAAACCCTACTGTTTTGAAAATGCTGCTGGAATGTCCCTGTAAATACTTGTTGAAGTGCATTAATCCCTGAAGTCTCTACCAGGAGTCTGTCTCAGTTGGACTTGCGGGACAGCGCTCACGGTGTGAAGCAGGAGCGCTGAAGTCCAGAGGTTCAGTCTCAAGAGACGGTGAAGCCCTGTGGCCTACCTTAAAGGAAGAGTACCACCCCTTGGAATCTGGCACATTGAAGGGGTTCCCCCAAGAGACTGATCCAAGTTGAGGAAGTAGCACTGATGCTGTGGGTATATGACAGGATGAAACCAAAAAAGTTCCATAGGAATTATTTTTAAAACCAGTAAAATTTATTAGTGAATTATGTCCCTGCTATGGTATTTTATAGGTTGGCTTAAAAATTCTGTAGAAAGTGTATATAATTCTTTATTCAGCTCTCTAGGGCTTTTCCATGAGGGATATTATTTGTCTTATGAAACTATTCTGAAATAAAGTAATTTAGTATATTAAATTCTGGACATGTGGCTGTTGTTTTAGCTCAATGAGATTATTTTTGCCAGC